GCTATGACTATCGAGAGTGGCACACTAGTACAAGGGGCTTTGCATTGTTCCGCACGAAGCTGCCTCACCGAGTGGCACATATCAAGTCTGTCGGTAGAGTGACGTCATGCTGAACGCGGAGATGAAGAGAAGCATGCGAGACACTTCGGACCGGTATCCGTCGTTGAAGGCATGCCGCGAGGTTCGATACCTAATCGGGGAAGACCGGCTACGTCGGTGTGGCATGGAGCGATGCACGCGCTTGGCCGAATGGCGTCAAGTGGCCCTATTGTCCGCCGAATGCGGGAGGTGTTCCGAGATCTATGCGCGAGGCATCGGGACGACCGCGCCGAGCTTCGAGCAAGCGTCGTGCCCCGTCGAAGATGTCGAAGAGCGTCGAAGGCGAAGTCGAAGTGTTGGGTGACTGAGCCGAAGTGCCGGGCGGGATGCGACTGCCGAAAAGAGCTGTATCGGGGCCCAGAGGGGCTTGGCGCCTATCAGCGGGTTTGCTGGGAGGAGCAGGAGAGTTTCCTCCTGCCCGTGTGCAGGAGAATGCTCATCTCCACATCTAAAATCCCTCACGGGAAGCCCCCCACTGACACTTCTGTGGTGCATGGGCATTCAGTTCCATATCCATCCACTCTCTTTCCTTTTCCATTCTCATCTCTTCCTTTTAGTCACATGCAGATTCCAATTGCCAAAAGTACACACTCTAGTACATCAAAAGTCGCCTGGCCAGGACCAACACTCTCCACATCGGACATGTATTTCCCAAACAGGTCCTTATCTATTTCCCAAACAGGTCCTTATCTATTGCCCTTTTCATCCCATATTGGCACGACCCACTTGAGATGCTCACACCACCATCAGACCCTACTGATGGTTCTCACACCCTGTCTTTGGATACTTCCCAAGTCAGCCCCACACTAATCTGGCCAGACAACGATAACAATGCACTCTGGATGACTCATGAAACTGTTACTGACCCTACAGCAGCCGTGCATCTCATATGGCTAGTGTTGTGCCGGGCTTGGCTTAGAAGCCTGAGCCAGGCCAAGCCAAGCCCGGAGAGGCCAGGCCAAGCCAGACCAAAGCCCTGTGCAAGCCCTCCGGTAGGGCCTGGCTTCACTGGGGAGAAGCCCGAGCCAGGCCAGGAAGCCCGGGGCCTGTAGTACCAAATAGGGAAGGTTGGAGCTCTGGCACTGCACCCTATCATCTTGATGGTATCAAATGTGTGGCCTTCATTTTGTATCCCCGCGACCTCCTGTTTCTCTCTGCGGCCTTCTGCTGCCCAGCGCGTGACTCTAACATTGCTTCATCAAGGCTACAGCTGACAGGTAAGCATTGATTTCAGTCCCTGTACATCAGCTCTGAAGCTGAATTTCAGCATTATACAATGGCGTGAGCTAGGTTTCATAGTGTTCAGTCAGACAGAGATATGAACATCTACACACTCTCAGTGCAGTATAATACTACATGAAATAATAAAGTAAGGCTTACGAGTTTCAGCTCAGGTATGTACATCAACTGGAACTTGTGTGCTTAGGCTGAATTAATAGCAACTGGAAATACCTCAGGGTCACCAGGGGTGGGACACATCACGTGCTGATCTTGACAAGATAAGATTGTGCGACATGTTGTGCTATCTCGACCCGACACAATACAATAACATCATACATGTGCGTGCACATGCAGAATGTACAAACATTGTTGTCACTCTTTTTTTCTGTAACTCCCCATATTCCTTGAGCTATGGCAGAGCGATTTGCAGGTACCGGTATGTACTTTCATTTAGATTTTAAACATTGCCTCATCTGCATGACTTTTAGACAGACTCTATTCACTGACTGGAGTCAGTCATCAGTGTGCAGTCCAGACCTCGCTTATGCCAAGCTCTGAGCAGTGCATAGCCTTTCAACATATTTGTTGGCAGCTTGTATTGTCTGCTGGAATACTGCTGATTCCTGTCCTTGTAACAGCATGTTTATATCATGACCTGTTAGATCTTTCATGCGCTATCAACCAGGAGCTCTTCTTTATACCTAAAAGCTCAGGTGCCTTTGCTCAGACACTAACAGTATGGTATTTTTACATCTCTGCAACATTACTTCTTGGCTGTGAGTACTCTGCTTACACTTTGTTGTCTACTTCTGATTGTGCTGTAGTCTCCCTTCAATTTCCTGATCATGCTATTCTTCATCTCATACTGCCTTCTGGTGACCAATATCAATACACCCAAACCCATTTTTCAAACATGCGGCAAGACCATTTTCAGTGCGCTATGTGCCTTCGACCATTCACGATATTTGTAATGGGCACAGACAGCCGAAACAGGACAGAACAAACAACTAGCGCCAAAGTAGGTAATAGATCATTAGCGAATGTGCAATCCACACGATCTATAGCTTTGCGTGAGTGGTTTTTGTGTCACCTGAAACTGTGGCTTCTCTTATTCATGATGGTTCAGTTGTTACCCCAAATACATCCATTTTGGCCATAATGGATGAGTTGTTTCACCGCAAGCTGATTCCTGCGACATTCCCCACAATGCACTCTCTATGCACATCTGGACCGCATCCGTGTATGCTCAATCTATTTGAAACAACACAGACAATTGGGCTTACATCAATGTCTCATCTGTACCTTCGAGTGCGGATTCTTGGTGGATCTAGTAAGTCTGTGTTGAATTGGTGTATAGTATAGGGCATTAATGACAACACAGAAAACATTGAACCCACTACATCCTCGAGCCGCAAATCCACACAAATATTGCAGCTGAGCCGGAAAATCACGGATGAGAATAACATCAAAGGACGCACTTCTTCAGGTATAGCCCACCCACTGCTGGTTCAGATGCATGAACATGTGTCTGCTATTATCAAAACCAGAAGCGAAGGTAAGTATTGATGCAGAACTACATGATTCTGACCGCTGATTTGTCAATTTGATACATACAGTATCAAGTGACCATCAATCAAATAATACACATGATCGTGATGATGATGATACCACAGACAAAGAACCACAGCGGAAGAAGCAGAAGACATTGCATAGGTCCTCTGTTCAGATGCGGTATTTGGTTGCATGCTCATTCACCCACAGGACAGGATCAAGAGTATATTGATATTCCATCAGTGTCAGACAATGAAGCAACAGGGGCTGCTCCTAGTGGTTCTGAATCAGAAGATACACCCATGGAGAACACTGCAAATTACAAGGGAAAAAAGAAACCAAACAGTGAGTAGTCGCTTTATTGAATGAGACTCTGCTTACTGGTAGTTTCATTGTGACTTCAGAGCACAAATCCAATGCAAACCCAGATCAATATGATGATGATGGGCTTTTCAAGGATCTCGAACACATTGCGCCTCCTGAGAAGCACAAGGGAAAAGCGAATAAGATTGCTGATGTCAATGCCTTCTTCAACAACCCCTTTGAGCAAACAAGGACCAACGGAAAGACAGTCAAGGTGCATGACTGTATTCGATGCAAGTACGTCTATGCATCTCTATTCAAATTTGGTCCATTGACAACTGAGTGTCCTCATATAGAAGCAAGCGGGTGTCAGGCTACACCCTAGTTAGTGATACATTGACCTTGCGCCGGCATCTTGCAGCATTTCACAAGGCAAGTCTCATTCTAGCTAGTTTATTAATCAATTCTGTCAGCTAAGTGAATAAGTACAGGCTGATTATCATGTTTGGTGTGCAGAAAACAATTTCATATCCATGATCGCCGAAGATGTGATTGCATGCAAAGCAGAAGAGAAGAAAGCAGCAGCACAAACAACCTTGGATGGACATGTGCAAACTGAGGGCCCATGTGAGCGTGTAACGCCTTATTCTAAAAAGTCATTTCGGTTGGCGGCTATCCAGTGGCTTATCAAAACAGATCAGGTTTGTAACACATATACTATTTTTGCTGCTTTCATTGAGAACCTTTGATGTCCTTAGCCCATTCGCACACTTGAACACCCATCATTCAAGTGCATGGTTGATGTTGCTGCCTGCGCAAAGGATGGCATCACCATTCCAACTTGGAAGGTCACTCAAAAGGAGATCATACATCTTTTTGGGAAGTATTTGGATGATCTTGCACACTGCCTCAATGTAACCATTTGTTGATGATTGTGATATTGTATAATGCTAATATTCTCTCAGGGTCCTCATGTACATGGGAAAATATCCTTGACATGCAATTGTTGGCAGGCCAGCAACATCAATGGGTACTTTGCTGTAACTGGTCACTGGATTGAGGAGAAGTCTTTGAATGAGTGGTCACTTGAAAGTGCACTGCTAGGGTTCGTGCATATAAATCGCTCCCACAGTGGTAAGCATCTTGGCCAAGCACTGTTCAAAGTAGCAAAGCGCGTCCATATTGCAGATCAGATGCATATTGCTAATTACATGATAGATATTCATGGTTATGGCAGACAATGCCTCAAATAATGTCACCATGATGGCAGAGTTAAGTAAGCAGATCAAGAAAGCGTACAATCTGGATTATGATCCTGAAAGTCACAGGATAGGGTGAGTTTGCATCTTCTACACAGTATATCACGCTAATAGAACTCAAGCTGTTTTGTGCACATCATAAACCTCGCTACTCAAGCACTGCTGAAGGCACAGAGCAAGTCGCCATATTATGATCCAACAAAGCCCGACACTCACATGCCAGATACACAATGGCATGCGGAACATGATGAGGTTGGTTTGATATGCGCAATTTCAGTCAAGGTATGCCCATCAGACACTCGACCCACTGTCATAACTATTACTGATCAATTTCACAGAAGCGATCATCGAGCCAGCACAAGGATCGCTTCTGAGACATACAAGCAGCTGCAGGAGTTGCACTTCAGAACTTCAAAACACTTATCATCGATATGAAGGTCCAATGGTCTTCAATGTACATGATGCTCAACCAAGCATATGCCATGTGCAATGTATGTATTGTCTTCTTTGTCTCATTTGTTATATACTAAGTGTTTGCAGCATGTTCAACACTTCTTGACGGAAATATCCCGAGATGCCAAAGATAATAAGACTGGGTATGTGCTATATGCGCTGATCCCATCTCCGGAGGAATGGCAGAATGTCAAACTGTTTCAGCAAATCCTTGAGGTGCGTTGACAATGAAGTCCACACCTTATTCGGCACCTGATTATAATGAACAGTGTTCAGATCACTGTCAACAGCACTTCTCGTCCGAGCATGATCCAGCACTTCATCTCGGAATACCTGTGCTTGAAGACCTTCATGCAATATGGTCTGCCTGACTACAAGATCCTTTGTACCTTCAGTTCAAACCTGGGCTACAGGCTGGGCTGGACAAGATTGTGGAGTACTATGATAAAACATCAGACAATGATGCATATGTTTTCTCAATTGGTGAGTCTCTGCAATCACACCTCATAAAGACATATGCTTAATATGTTGGCGCACTCACAATCTAATAGTACTTGAGCCCACCAAACAACTCATGCACTTCAAGACCAATTGGACTACTGACCTGCTCGAGGATGCCACAGAGCTGTGCAAGACAGTCATAAGTGTATAGCTCAACTCTGCTTTGGAATGATGCTAACAATGATTGTGATTGAAACCTAGTTCAAGGCATGATACAAAGAATTGCATGCTAGCAATGACACAGCAGCAACCATATCAAATGCAAGAAAAGGCCCAGCTAGTACAAAGTGGGCACGTTCATCTGCTGTGGTCGCCCTTCTATCCAGTGACTCCAAGGACGATTGTCCTGTTGTCTCTTTGGCAGCAACTCAGAGTCAGTCCATTCAATCAGACGAAGAGCCTTGGGAATGAGAATTCAAAAAGTATATTGACCTTGACGAAGACATTCCGGAAGACATGACAACTGTCAAATGGTGGGGTGTAAGTTATCTCAATTGCATTTTATGAGATTTCGGACCTTAAGCTTGACCTGTCAACAGCTTAACAGCCATTGATTCCCAACATGGGCATCACTGGAACAAGACTATCTCGCAATCATGGCAACATCAGTGTCAAGTGAGCGTGCATTCTCGAGCGTGGGGATCACAGTCACAAAGCGATGCAATCGTCTGAAGGGTGACATTGTTGAAGCACTTCAAGCCCTCAAATGTGCATTTCGATGTGACCTGTTCTTCAAGGAGACCAGCCCCTCTTCAGCAACAGAAAATGAGCTCAAAGCCGAGGACAGTGATGACAGTGACATTGGTGGGGCTCTACTCACAGAGAAAGAGTGCACTGTTATTGGACTCACCATTGACTTGGATTCGGATGCTGAGGAGGACAAGTAATTACTTTCAGCAAGAGGCGTGACAAATAGCAATCTCTGGGTTTGTCTCGGGTGGCACAGTCATTTTATTTGTTATGATACACTGTCTATAAACTTGCTACACTAGACAGCCTATTTAACAATGATTTGTGCTCAATATGCAGCATATAATTGACTGCTGATCGCTATGTGTAAGTGTCAAACAAGCCATGGCTTGATCCTGAGCCAAGCCCGAGCCAGGCCAAAGCCCATGGCCAGGGCCTGGCTTAGCATCTGTCGAGGCCCGGGCTCTCTGAAGCCAGGCCAAAGCCATGGCTTTTGAGCCAAGCCAGGCCAGAAACAACACTACATATGGCCCAGCCTGGTATTTTGGCAGGCCCAAGCCCCTTCAAGCCAGGCGGTAGCCCCAGCTTTCAGGCCGAGCTGGGCTTTGCACATCACTACACAGCCCTGACACGTGATCTGGTGCTGCCCACGCTGCCCACCATCCATGTATGGCACCTGCCTTGACCCCAGCCAGCTAGCATGGAGATTGCATGGGCTCCCAGACATGAGGTGAACGATGAGGAGTTGTTGTGCATCACATATTTAGACACCGTGCAGACTGTTAGGCTATTGTGTGGATACTTAGCACTTACTACAGTTTGACCTATCTGTCATTTGTATAGCTATACTCTAATATATCCTATTGCTAATCTACCATGCACATGTGCCCTACTGACCACTAAGAGTGCGCTAATGTGTGCTAACGAAGTAAGCTATTTCTCGTACAAGGCCATCTAAGAGCACTAATAATAGGGCAATGAGTCCACATTTAGATCTATACAACTATTTCACCTAATTAGATCTAATTAGACTGGGGGGTTTTCCCTGATGCCCGCTGCTTCCACTGACAATTGTTGTGCATTCAACAGTGTCGTGGGCCATCGTGGCACCCCACCACAGTGCCTGGTACATATATGGTGCGGTCCCTGGTGGTGACCGTCTCTGGACATGCACGGGGCGCTGATGACTGACTGGGTTTGGTGAGTGTTAGTCGTCATTGACCGGCACATGCAAGGTGGCTGGACAACAGGCTTGCGCGCAGGCAGAATGTTGTCCTGACATCCTGGTTGACACACTGGTCTGTCCAGGAGACGTTGCAGCTGAGCGGGGGCTGCGAGCGGCGGTCAAAGGCGGTTCCGCAGGCATCCTGTCCAGCGGCAGATGGTGAAGGAACTGAGTGGGAGATGGTGGCGGTGGCTTGGATAACGAGTGCAATGGGTGCGGCGGGTGCAGCGGGCGCAACACACAAAGTGCGGGATGTTGAGGAGCTCTGGAATGAGAGCAGAGAGGTGTATGTAGCGAGAGTGTAGTGGACTATGCAATATATTTACTTGTGGTGACTTTGTGTCTGTCCCCGTCTACTGCCTTGCCCCCCGTCGCCCTCTATACCCACCGCCCTCTATTCCCTTGCCCTCTGCTCTCCTCTACTCCCTTGCACTTGTGCCATCTCTCAAATTTCTGCCACTCACTTCTCGCATGCTCGCCCCATCTCCATCCCCTCCTGTCTGCCCCCGCTTATGCAGCCCATCTCCCCATCAATCTGCCGCCCTGTGATCTCCATATCTTGGCCCCAATCTCACTCTCAGTCTCTCACCATCCCAGCCCACAAAAGATATTCATCGCTGTCTACACAGGCACAGCTGAGATTGGAAAAAACCAGGCACCATCGAACACCACGATAAACCCGGGTTTTCCAGCATTTATCCCAGAATCAGCATACCCAGGTATTTCCCGATCCCCTCTCACCTTGGGTTTATCTTGGGATCCAGCCACCTAGCACCATGGTACATCTGCCTCCCATCCGATTTATTCCGATGCATTCTCCCCTTAATTATTATACCCTTAATATTGTAGATAAGTCAAATATATAATATTGTGCGCCAACCGTGCTACCAACATTGAATCGCTATTCAAAAGCTGATAGCCAGCCAACTGTGCGACTACCAACGGAATAAGCATGTACCTTGTCCACATCCAAACACGCCATCAGCACTAGCCTACGTACCAGTCAAGCAATCTCACCTCCCAGTCTGCATGCACTGGCAGCACACAAACATACCCATCCTAGCCACCTCTCCGAGTCGTTAATTTGCACGACAGTCAGTCATCATGTTTGTGTTCCACAGCTGCACCTCCAGGCAGCCAGATAGCGCCAAGGCACCATCAGACGCCTTCGCCAAGGCACCGTCAGCTTTGCACCAGTCCTCATGCAGCACTCGGCAGACGTGGCCGCGCCAGCTGGTGGCAGTATCACTAACGCAGAAGAGACATCAGTGCCAGGCAGCAGGTCTTGTTGAGTGTTGGAACTTGTCTGCGCAACATCATACTTGCGAGCCACCACCGTACTTGTGAGCCACCACTGTCCATGTTTGAGACTGCTGTTCTGTCTTGATACTACTGTCCTTGTTTGCTACAGTCATCCTTCTTCACAAGCATAAATCCGAAGTGCCTTTGATGTTGTCTTCTCACGCCCAGTCCCAGATCAACAGTGGCACATGCAATAGCCACAAAACAATCCCAGATACCAATGCACACCACCTGAGGCCAAATGATCTTGCCTCCCGAGTTCTTCAACACCCTGGAGTCTTCAGTCACCATGCGCCTCAGTCATTTCCGCAAGCCCCAGGAGTCTCACCGAGGTCCTACACCAGTCCAACTGAAGAGATCCTATGCAAGTCCAACCCAAAGCGCTTTGTCCCATTCTAGCAGACATCCGACCTAAGCCCTCGTTGTATTGATATCCCAGTCATCAGTTTGATCCCACCAGTCCTTTGGAATACAGTGTCGCATAGTGAGGTCTCGTCGCCCAGAGTGCATACAGTTGCATGAAAACCGCCATCCCAGACATTTTGACAAAGTGCCGGTGCAAGGCACCTTGCCCGCTCGTGATCCTTATGTTGTGAATACCAAGAATCCTTCTTTTTCGAAGACCAAGATGAGTACACTATCATTGCTCACCGCTTGCCATTGTGTGAGCCGCAAATCAACAAAGCTTTGGGCAGCGCTTCTGCCTGCATCGAGCGCCATGCCAGGCCTGCGGCAGGGCAACGGGTAGTGCTTGGGAGGCCTGCGGCAGGGTGATAAGTGATGAGTAGCTGCTGGGCATGAATGCACCACCATTCGTGAGGCAGCGCGCATGTCGAGACACAGAGCAAGAAGAGAGGAAAAAACTTACGTGTCTCATCAATGGACATCACACTTGTGACCTACCAGTCACCGTGATGCGCGCCCACCAGCCTTATTTGGCAAAGCAAGACTCAGCGTGGTGCCCATCCTTGCAGGCACTGGGTTTACCCCGACTCCTATCCCAGGATGGTGCTGGCGTCGGGGTGGATTGGCGGGGCGCCAAGTTGAACTCGGCTTGAACCCAATCCGCGGTCTTCGGGTGACGCCGCGTCATTGGTACTCAGGTTTTTCCGAAAATAAGCTCTGGCGGTGTACTACACACCCCGTCGGCGGTAGCCCGCTGAGATACACTGGTGCGCGGTCGCGTGGAAACTGACGGCCGGCCCGCCGAACGTCACGTCTCCTGCGTCCGTGTCGACCGGTGAGCGACAGGCAATGATGTCCGGATGCAGATGCTTACCACCACGATGTGCGATCTGCAGGCGTTCGCGTCTCGCCGTCTGCACGTCCCCGCGAGCTGGCCTGGTCAAGTCATCGCGCTGCGACGATGCGGACGACGCGCCACGGCGGGAGGACGCCATTGCAGATGGCCGTCGTCGTCTAGATGCCGGGCTGCCAGGCTGCGGGGGCGTGCGCAACACGGGTGGGTGATGCGGGATGGGCCATGGCGAGAGAGCGGGGGGTGTAAAGTCCGTCTGAGCAAAACGTACATGTACATATTAACCGTCCTCCTGTAGCCGGGAGCGCGCCCCTCTACCGCAGCCGCCTCGTCGACTTGCGCGCCACACGACCCGTTGGGCGTAGGCGTGCTCTGCGCTCTCGTGCTGTGCTGCTGCGGCGCGCGGAGTGGCCGTCATCGTCATTTGTACGCGCCGGCCGTCTGCTGTCGAGCAATATAGCACGATTTGCATCTTGCTGACTTGCGCAGCGACGCCGTGATGCGGCGCGGCGGCAGCGTGTCGGTGTCGGTCGCACGCGGACGCGCTGTATGTTGCGGGGGGTGGACGCCCCCGCGTGCAGAAGCCGTTGGGCCAGTGACGCGTGACGCGTGAGGTACTCGCGTCCGAGCGAGCGCGCAACGGCGTACCGCGTACCGCGTGAGAGCGCGCCACGGGACAGCGAGGACGTGCGGGGACCGGTCTCCCTTCGATCGGTGCGTGGGTGCGTGTGAGGCACGCGAGAGCGCGCGGGGGCGTCGTAAGACGCGGGCGCGCGCTGCAGACACCGGCGCGCATGCGTATCCATGTGCTGCACGAACGCGCGCGGCACGACGGGGTCCGCTGTGGGCAACACAGACCGAGACCAGGCGCGGTCTGGATGGGCGTGCGCGGGCTGGGCGCCCCGGCGTGGACTCGGTTGTGCAGAAGGACGGGTGCGCACGTCGTATGGAGATGGAAATGGAAATGGAAATGGAGGGGCGTGGACCCGGCCCCGTGCACCCGCCCCGTGCTCCGTGACGCGTGAACCTGTACGAGCGGCAGAACACGCTCGCCAGCGAGCGGCAGCCCTCGCTGCACAGCCGCGCGCACCGCGCCGCGGTCTGCGTGCATGTGCCCAATCAGCCGGGCGTGGGCGTGAGTGCTGCGCGTGCGGAGGACGCACCTGGCCGCGTCATAGTGCACTGCGCACTGCCTCGCCAGACAGAGACAGGCCCTGGCCGATCTCGCCGCGGCCCTCCGCATCCGCACCGCCCGCGCGGTCCCCGCCCCTGCCGCGGGAGCCGCGCGCGACCTTGCCTCGCGCGTCGAGCTGCCCTGCGTACGCCTCCGACTCGGGGTCGGACGTGTAGCCCACGTCGACGGCGAGCACCGGCGCGGGGCGGCGGACGCTGAGGTCGAAGATCTTGGGGCGCGACTGGGTTTCGTTTTCGATGGGCAGGGGGTCCGCGAGGCCGCGCGTGATGAGGCGTGCGTTTGTGCGCCTTGCGCGCGAGCCGCGCGTTCTTGGCTACGGCAGGCGAGAGACGGAGGCAGTCTATCGCGCACTCGATCAGAGCAGCTCATGCGAGAGCGGGGCGATCCTGTGCCCGTGTGCGCGCGCGCGCGCTGGCTGGCTGCCGGCCGTTGTTTCCTTGACGCCGGTCGGGTGCTGCCTATATCTTGGCCGCACGGCTGTGTCGTCGGCGGGCAGGCGAAGGTCGGGAGTGCGTGTGTTCCAGCAGGCTGCGTACATCGGTCCGGGTGCGCGGACGTCGCTACGAGAACGCTGATCTCCAGCGGCACTGAGTCTGAGTGGTGGTGCCCCGTGCGTCTGCCTTGTCTGCACACGCGCGCGCATGTTCTCACGCACCCGTACCGACGTCGTCGCATCGTCGCGTGTCTCGGGGGCCGCGTGACCGCAGCGCAGGTCGCGATCGACTTGGCGCCCACAGAGAGCGTGCGTGCAACACCCGCGCCGAGCGGACGGCAAGACGTGGGCACGTACCAATGAGACGGGCGAACACCTCTGGCGTGCGGACGACCTCGCACATGCGTGAGTATGAGCGAGCGGGCGCAGCGCGGTGTGCGACGAAGACGCGGGAGTGACGGTGCGAGGCGAGGCGGGAGGCTGCGCGTGGTCGCGGCTGGCGAGGGTGACGGCGAGGACTAGGAAGCAGAGCACGACTCACCTGCGGGACGTGCGCACGCTGGCTCAGCGGAGTCTGAGGCGCGGACTGCGACGAAACAAGAAGAGGAGGGCTGAGCTGGTGTTGCACATGGCGAGCGTCAGAGGCGGATACCATCGGGGAGCGAACGGCGGCGGCAGCGGCTACAGGCGCACGGCGCGTCAGGCCTGCACACTTGATCGAGTCGATCGGCATGCGCTGCCTCCATGGCACGTCTGGTGCCATGTCGGCGACGCCTTCTCCATTACGGCAACTTCTCATGACGACCTCCTCGACTACACCTCAGGGCGCTGGCTGTAAGTCTCGCACATGTTGTTCTGCAGCGTCCCGTATTCCAACTCACACTTGCTCAGGTTCAACGACGCCGCGGCGAAGACCGAGTACATCTTCATGGAATACACGAGGCACGAAGCTCAGCGACGTATGGCTGGAGCCGGGCGAACCGGACCTCGCCTCCATCCTGCGCCAGCTTGTTCACCTCGCGTCTCAGCTCACGCCGATGTCCTTCCCCGCGGCGGAAGCCTCTCCCACGCCCCCGACCCGGAGAAGGCGGCCGCGAGGGCGGCCATCCCGCTCATGGAGAAGGACGCGCGTTTCTGCGTTGGCCCAGATACCCGGCAGCCCATGTGGCGCGGCAGGCGATCGCAGCGCGACGCAGACCGTGTACCGTGTACGCCGCTTTCTGCCCTGTCTGACCACGCCCTCCAACTGATCAATCGCTGCAGACGAAAGCGCGGACGCAGCGCTCGCAGCAGCCGCCCGCACGGAACCGGCGTATCTCGCGCCGCTCCGCCGCCCGCTCGTGCCGTCCCGCCGCGCGCGGAGAGGGACGCGCACCGGCACCAGGCGCGGCCGCCGTCCGCCCACACCCACATCGCGGACTTGCAGCGCCATGCGCCATCTCCGCATCGCACCGGCGCACCGGCGCGCGGTCGTCTCTGCACCCGCCATCCAGATCCCCAGCAGCGCACCATCGTCGATCGTCGTGCGGAGGCCGTCCGACGCGGGCTGGCCTGCGCGACGGGGCCCTGGCAGCACGCGTCCGTCCTGCCCCTGCATCCTGCCCCTGCCCCTGCTCCTCCTCCCTCCCCGCCGGCGTGCCCGCGCGCCTCCAGGACCACGCCGATCCCGATCCCGGCTCGCAGCCCACGACGCCGCCGCACCTCGACGCGCGGACGCGCTGGACGAACCTGGGCGCACCGAAGCAGGAAGCAGAGGGAGTGCACCGGTCACCGCTGGCGCCGCTACCACGACCGCTGCCTCGAGCACACGGCGCCGCATCACGACGCCTTGACGGACCCCGTGTGCGCGCGCAGCCTGTTCCACCGCGCGGGCGACCCGTGGGCGGGCGACACGCTTGATCTGCAGGCTGCGCCACGGAGCGGGGGGCGGCGCGTGCGGGGGCGGGCGCGCCGTGTGCGCGAGACGCGGAGGCTGGACGCGCTGCAGGCGAGAACGGGCAGGGCGTGCGAGGTGTGGCAGGACATCTTCGGGCTGGGGCCGGACGGCTGGGTGCCCGCGCAGGAGTACGAGGAGGCCGTGGCGCGCTGCACGCGGGCGAAGGAGGGGGCGCTGGCGGAGGCCACGGAGGGGGAGCGTGCGGAGATCATGGCGCACTGGCCCTGGGACGACATGGACGCAGGGAAGTGTATGTGATGCATCGAGCTAGCCACTCCGCGGTTTTGTGTCGCAGGGGGCTGTCTATGCTACATGGCAAGTGCCATCCAGCACAATATACACCATAACACTCATCACGGGCCCCTCGTGACCGCCCGTCTCGTCTCTCATCCAGGAACGCGGCGGTACATCGTACACAGGCGCCCGCGCATTTGGGCGCTTTTGTGTGCCCGTTCATCGCACGTCTACGGCCAACATTCGGGACATTGGGTACAGGAATAACGGCCCTTTCGCGCAGGCTTTTGTATGATGGCGCGTATACGGTCATCTGCGTCCTTTTCGAGCCTTCGCGCAACACATGGTCCGCCCGCGCGGTCCCTGGTGGCCTCTCCGGCTGCTGCCCACGTCGTCTCTATCTCTATTGGGACACGGCTTCTCCCCATCGGGACGTGCTGCCGCGCCGGTGCACTGCACCGCTGTCCTGCTGCTTCGTCTCACCGCAGGGAGGGCACGTCGTCCTCCTGATTGTGGAACGAGCATGCGGTAGGGATACAGCAAACCCGTCGTCACCTGGTAGCCAGCCTCTTGTCAGCCTCAGCCTCACCAGCCTAGGTCAGCCTCGAGGGCTGACAGGCGTCTCCGTCAAAATGGCGCAGAGCCCTCACTGAGATCCTCCATTCACTCGCGGTACGATCATGGCAGACTACTTCCCCCTCCTCGGGACACTTCTGCTCTCGGGCGCCCTCTTGGCGTCCGCTTCGCCGGTGGATGTCTCTCCTGTGGCAGCGCTCAGCTATGGTGCATTCCAGGGCAACATGTCTGGGAACGTCTCTTCATTCCGGGGTGTCCCTTACGCTGCTCCTCCGTACGTCTCCCCCTCATACTTGCAGTGCCTGTGCTCACCGTGCAGACACTAGGCTCGGTGATCTGCGGTTCGCTCCTCCGCAGGCTCCTCAGCAGATCCAGGGTGTCTACCGAGCCATGGAGTACGGCGCCGCATGCCCCCAGCAGGCGACACCGACTCCGCCCGGCTTGCCCTTCAGCTTCTCGTTCACCGACTCACCTATTGCTGGGGTGCCGCCGATCGCCAACATATCCGAGGACTGTGAGTTGGCGCTATAGGTCCGCCTGGGTTAGATGCTGACACTACGTCGCGCAGGCTTATTTGTAAACGTGGTCAAGCCGCAGGCAGCGACCCCCGGAGCGGATCTGCCTGTGCTCTTGGTACGTCCGCCTTTGGCTCGTACTCCATGGTCGCTCATATGGAATAATTGGCCAGTGGCTCCACGGAGGTAATTTGCGTCGTTGAGTAGTGCGTCTGGTGGTCTGCTGATGCGGTTGCATAGGTGGCCTCGAAATTGGATCGTCGTCGCTCTACCCCGGAGAGGAAATTGTCGAGCGGTCGATTGCCATCGGCGAACCTGTCGTCTTCGTGTCCGCGAACTACCGTCTGAATGGTAAGTGCGCAAACATGACCGACGGATCATCTCTCACGCCAGACGATCTAGCGTTCGGGTTTCTTGCGGGCGAGGAGGTCCAACAGGCGGGCCTTGGCAACATAGGCCTTCGTGACCGTGCATACTGCTTTCCACCTCGTGTTCTTCACATCGGACTGAATGGCTCATGCCAGAACGCTTCGCCATGCAATGGATTCAGTCGAATATCAACGCGTTCGGCGGCGATGGCAGCAAGCTCATCATGTAATACCCCTTTCTCTCCGAGCAACCCCATATGCTGACATCTCGCCAGATGGGGCGAGAGCGCGGGCGCGATGTCAGTCGGCTTGCACATGGTCTGGAACGACGGCAACACCAACGGGCTTTTCCGCGGAGGCTTCATGGTACGTCCGACCCCAGTCGCAACGTTTGTCCCGTCGCTGATGGATTCTGTGTTTGCTTCTGTGCAGGAATCTGGCTCTCCCGGCGGCCTGTCCAACATGTCAGCTGGCCAGCCGTACTATGACTACATCGTGCAGTTCACCGGCTGCGAGGGCCAGTCCGACACCCTGGACTGCCTGCGCCACGCCCCGTACGACCAGTTGATGACCGCTGTGAACAACACGCCGAACCAAGCCGGATACCGGAGCCTGAACACGGTATGGAGCGCACGGATCGACGGGAGCACCATCACCAGGAACCCTCCACGCTCTCTCGAAATGGGTCTCTTCGCAGACGTACGTGCCAGTACACAGGCATCACGGGACTCTGTGCTGAACTTCCTCGCGTTGAAGATCCCGTTTGTGACGGGAGATGTTGACGACGAGGCCACCATCTTCAATCTCGGGAACACCAACGTCACGTACGTACTTGATAACTTGATCCCTGAGTGTGCGCTCAAGTCCTGAATGACATGAACAGGACGGACGAGGAGTTTGTGCAATATCTCAAGTCAAAGTACGCTTTGAAGTCGCGCCTTCTTGTCTGTCCTCACGCAGTATCCTAGCTTCATGCCGGAAGCGACGGCCGAGGATCTGAATGCCATCGCAAACGCCTATCCGTCCGACCCACGTCTTGTGTGTAGCCTCCATATACTTCAGCTGCAGCAATTAAGATGACAGTTGCACAGGGATCCCCCTACGACACTGGGTCTGCAGATCAGCTCACGTGAGTGGTCCTTTATGACAAAAGAGTGGGATGCGTAATAAGGGTCGCCTCCAGTCCCCAGTACAAGCGGCTCTCTGCCTTCGGGGGAGATTATACGTTCCAAGCGCCTCGTAGGTTCCTCCTCGGTCATTCAGCGGGTAGGCAAGATACCTGGGCGTTCTGTGAGTTCGTTTGACGGTCCTCGAGACACTGCGTGGCCTGACATATCTTGAAGTGTACAAGCGTAACAAGACCATCCCTTACCTCGGATCTCACCACATGACGGACATCCCAGAGTTCTTCACTGGTATCGACTACATTGGCACCGACGCACTCAGTGAGTCCTCTACAGCGCTTGCAATATTGTCTGCAAGATCTAAACTGAGTGCTCTCTCCTAGTCAACTTCGCGTACAACTTGAACCCGAACGTCCCGAGCACACTGGCGCCGAACGTCAGCTACCTGTCTAACATCACCTGGGAGCAGTGGAACTCCTCCACCTCTGCACCGCCCCTGTTCACCTTCTTGGATCCTGCCCCGTCGGTCACGATTTCGTCGGACACGTACCGTGCAGCCGCGATGGATCTTCTGAACGAGATGACAGCTCGTAGTGCTTAGAACTTAGGTGCGTTTCGCTGCTAGTTAGAGTATAGTATGAAGGGCTAGGAAGCTGTTCAATCGGGATAAGAGGACATTCAATGACGTTTATTGCGGCATCTTCACTGTCATCGTCACCGGCATGAAACGACATAATCTCTACTTGCTGGATAACGGTATTATAATTTCCGCTGCCACCGCGTGAGCACGGAGTATTGTACTTATTGCTGAGATGTGTCGAACTGACAGTGGGATCCGTTCGCTAGGTAGGATAGGACTGAGCGCGGAGACGTGAAATATCCCATTCGGCGAAATCGAGGCCTTCGTACAAGGCATGTTCTGCTCCTCAAGAGGAAGATAAATATACCATTACCAGCGTGTCTCGAGGAATAGCACAGCAGTATGACACTCTTACTCTGAGATGCGCCGCTGCAGCGATCCAGCCACCGACGTGTAACGGTGTGACAGGACGCGTCAATGTTGTCACGTCGTTATGGCGTGACAGCCGGCATCGAGTCCCCCTACAGCTGTCAACTCTACTAATACCAAGCTTTCGCTGGTCTCTGTGGTGCATTGCTTCCTTCACTCATACTTGAAGTCTCTGTTCGTACATCGGTACACTGCTCTGGCAGCAATTTGCTCCATCTGTCATCTTGATATAGGATTTTCACGACCACGGAACCATGTCTCCCATGAGCTTTCATTCATGCATGCCGAGTCTCAACTGTGCTGCTCAAAGGCTTAGGGTTGTTACCGAGAGATTAAGACATATTCTGTGAACCAGATTGATAACCTCGGCGTTTGGTATGTGATGTCTTTGTACACCCGTCAGTCTTTAAGTCCTGCATGATATATACGTTGTTCATCATCTCTTTGCGCATGCTTGGTGCGCGGTTGCTGTGTGCTGCTTGCACCTGGAGCATTTATTTCATTTTACCATGTTCATCGCCCTTTTGGAACCGAAGGCGGATGCTTTGCGCAATATGGAGAACAGTTACGAGAGGCATCCATAGGGATATCGTCCTTTACTGCCTGAGTTTGGGAGCGGCCATGTAAAAATGGGTTCTGAGGGACGAATTAATCAGGTTCTTGCTTCGCCACTATCTACATGAATCCACAGGCTGCATGCCTCATGTCTGGCAGATGATTCTTATATCATATTTCATGACTTCGTTGCATGCAGTCTCATATCCACTCTGTTTCTCAGTGTAGGGGCGACTTAGGGTTCTCTAGATCTCCATGCTTCCGGCGCATCTTAGTGTAAGGTGACCTTTTCGAGGTCTGCTTGTTGACATATTTGTCAAGCGATGCCTCTTGACATCTATTCGAGGAACGCGAGTTCGCGATGATCGCCGTCTAGATGGTTTGGGGCATCTTTCGATGCAACGCGGAGAATATCAGCGCCCTTGAAGTGGTTGGACGCCCTACACGCCGTATTGTGGTAATGTATTGGGGCACCTGGAAGAAGTTCGAGTCGCGGGAAGCATCGCGGTCTTGCTGGGAAGAAAGATCATAGAATACGTTCTGAGAACCAAGATGCTTACGATAGAACGGAAGGGATGTACTCAAAGGGCGCGAGTAGGATGATCGGAACGAACGGCTGAGATTGTGCCAAAGGAATCCGACCTCCCATTGCTACAATGCGATTTTAGGTACTGCCATCGAAGAAACTGAAGCTATGCCAGCTGCTTGCGTCGTTGGTAGCAGCATATCGGTAAGAGACAGCTTCAAACAGTAGCTAGCCTCGACATTACTCGCTGATCTCCCACCGGTTTGCTAATTGGGTCGAGAGAGCCATGTGTCTTACTCTCGTGTAACTCATGGTACCTCATTAAACGTTCTCAACATTCAAGGGTCTGTTTCTTGAGATGCTATAGGTCGGCGCCTTGCTTGATACTGATAAACCTTGTCGCTGCTACAAGTGCCAAGGAAGCGTAGGGCGGCCTCGCGCACCGGACCACCTTCTCTGGATATCACATTGTTCCGATCTCCTCGTGAGGCTTCTCGATATTCCGCACCGTCTGATTATGATCCCGAGATTGTGTCGAGGCAACATCGTTACACATAGGGATCGTAGTGCTGTGTTCCTGACGGAAGCATCATGGCCCATCGGGCGATCCATTCCGGTTGATCTCAACATACATCAGTAGCGCTGATTCTCATACTCGGTACAATGTTGTTACGAGTTCGCCTCCGTTGTTTTCACAACATACATGGCTCACTATTTACGACACGGTACGTATGCGACAGCTCTTACCCGGCACAGCCCGCACTATAGCCTACACTTCTCCCTGGGCGGTGATGCGCCAAGTCCCACCTGATCTCAGTACTAGTATTGCCGCTCCGATCCGATAGCGCTAACGGCCTGACGCCCAGTCCTCTCCCATCATCAAATGCGATTGGGCCGCCGTCTGCAGCCTGCTCGCCCTGACACAACTCAAAATCTCTACATCTTCACGGAAGCGCGCATGCATATGCCCAATGCCCCGCGCGGCGCGCCAATCGCCATGCCATAATCAATGCCTGAGTTCCCAGACTTGTTTCAGTGCCAACGTACATAGACACCCCGCCGTGCGCGCACCCGCGCTCTAGTAAGCTGTCTCCTCGCAAACGACCGTGGTAGTGAAGGTGCGCACGATGCCCGAATTGATCACTGGTCCCAACGCCAGGACTCCCATTGTTGCGACGATGCTGGAGGGCATCACGTACGGTGAGCTCATCGGTCGTGTCGCTGCGCACTGACAACCTAACGGCTCCTAATGCAGGCATTGCAACATGTGTGTTCGCCATGACCGTATGGGTTCTATACTTGCGTCGCGACCGGGGTGTCAGCCGCTGGATGCTGGGGGTCGCACTTGTTTTGTGGATCTTGCCGACCATTGTAAGTGCTCATCCTGCCTGGACCACCGACGAACTTGGTAAGAGACATTGCTCTGCAGCGCGTGATTATCGACACCGTGGATACGGTGAATGCCTTTGTACACCACATGGATGAGGGTCCATCTGGCCCTTCGGCTTACCTGGCTTCCTTCTGGCGGCCGCTTTCGCTGCTTGACAATGCCCTGTACGCCATATCAACACTGATCGGGGACGCTGTCGTGGTAGGTCATTCTCCCCATGCATCAGTATGCACAAGGCAATGCTAACATCCGTCGCTGCAGATCTACCGCTGTTATGTGGTATGGCAGTCTTGGCTTGTCATCGTCATACCAGGCCTTGCATGGCTCGGCTCACTAGGTATGTCCATGAAGGAATGGGTGCCACTCTACAGTGCTCACGAATCTTCAGGCAGCACAATCTACATTCTGCACTCATTTCATGAACACATCATTTCCAGCAACCAGATTGTCATGTTGTACTCGTTTACGCTGGCTGCGAATCTTTCGGCGACAGGTAAAGGAACCTAGTCAGACGGATGTCCAATAACTGATCCTCGCATCCTCTCCAGCCGCTCTGGCATATCGGATATGGTCAGTAGACCGCCAGACCATTAGGCCACGGGGAGCAAGGACGAATCTGCGGCCCATTCTCCTTGTTGTCATGGAGTCCGCCGCAATGTACACATCGCTGCTCATCGCAGCGCTAGTCACTGTAGAACATGCGTTGCAGGCCGAATATTGCCTGAACACCAGCGTAAGTGCTCGGGCACAATGCCTGATATTTAATGCTAAAACCACTCCGCAGATGCCCTCACTCATTTCAGTCATCTTTGGCATCGTCTTTATCCGGATGGGACTGGCGCAGCTACCTAAAGAAGGTCGAGCTGCTGCCGGTCACATCCCTCTCAGCACCATTGTTTTCGATAGCGCGCCCACTCAGACTGTAAATCAGTCGGAGACAAAGTACAGCAGGAGCGAAATGTCCTCAGGCATGACGTTCAAGGAGAGCAGTGCGGTCGAGTCTGTAGTATGACTTGATCGTCGTTGCACTCGCAATGTATTATAATTATTACTTCCTTGATGTTTCGCGTGATTCGGTGTGTATGAATACCTTGATGGGAGTTGATCATTACATGTTTTGTCCCGCGGCGGCGTTCTGCTATCGACGAGGAAGTCAGATTGGCCAGGTTGCGAATCGGTCGCGTACGTTGATCGGATCATTTCAGTAGCGGTCGGCTAGAATGATCGGTGTGTCTCCGGTACAACCGAGGAGGCTAGCATCGGGAATCGGTCAGAACGTGCGTGCGGGGAGCGGAAATGCTTGGAAATGACGCCCAGATGTTACTGCCCTTGTACAATGACATCGCCACCAGTATCCGAAGTGACGAGAACTGAGACCAATAGCGGGCTCCTGTCCACCAACTCCCACCTCGGTCCAATCACCGAGGGTGCCTCCACACACCTGCACATTTCTGTTCACCGCTGCGCTTCCATAACAAACCTTATCACCTTGTAGGCGCTGTATACTGCCCCGCCTCACGCAAGACTGGCGGGTGCTGCCCCGCTTGTCAAGTCTCCAGGTTGACTCTACCAGACCATGAACCAATCGCACAGAGAGGCATTGGACTTCATGCAGGGGTATCTGCATCTCGTCAATGCAGGCCTCTCCATCGAGCATGGCGTAGCGGCTGCTGCCGCCTTTGGGGTGGTACGTACAGGCGTCGGTCAATAGCTGCGCGCTGATTGGTTCACCATGCACAACCCTTCAGCTCGCACATCAATACTTCAAACGATACGAGCCTACTGACTTGGTATCGCTCACTGTGCTGCTGGGTGCAGTCCCTGCCATACCTGCGTCTCTGCTTGCGCGAACTGGTGATTCGACGTTCACCGCAATCCTAACCGCGTATTCTGTTTATATCGTCTCCTTGCTACTGTCCATTGCGATCTACCGCACGACGCCACTCCATCCTCTGTCTAAGTACCCCGGGCCGTTCCTATGCAAGCTCTCCAAATTTTGGCTGGTCTATCTGACGACTCGAGGCAAACTGTATCTGTACTTCAAAGAGGCGCACGACAAATATGGGCCCATCGTTAGGATTGGTACATTTCGTTTTTGTTGAAGCCTTGTTTACCGCTACAATTGTCTGCAATGCAGGCCCCAACGAATTATCAATTGTGGACGAGACCCTTCTTCCGTCAATCATGGGCCCAGATAGCATGCCCAAAGGCCCGCGTAGGTTCTTGTGCTTGTACTGTGCTTCACATTACTGAGGGTCGCTCAGTATGGGAAGGCCGTCGCATCCAAGGGAAGCGCGGCGGTGGAAAGACCCGGGGCACCCTAATCGGCTCGCGCAACAAGAAGGATCACGCGGAGGCACGTCGTGTCTGGAACCGTGCGTTCACCACCCCTGCGGTGAAGAAATACGAGCCCATCGTGATCCGGCGGGCGGCGCAGCTTGTCGAGGAGCTCAGGAAACGATGCAGAGCTGCAGAGCGCGACGGCAAGGGGCTAGCGGAGGCCAATCTCTCGGAATGGCTGAGTTACTTTTCGTGAGTTGAGTGACAGTAGTACGAATATCTCGGATTGACTGTTTTTCTACTGCTAGATTCGACTTTATGGGTGACTTTGTGTGGGTATTGAAGATTCGTGCTGTGTATGAAGGGTCCTGACAAGGTTGTTCAGCTTTGGTTCGTCATTCGAGTTGATGTCCGACGGCGACAAAGACGGCTTCTTGCGCACCATGGCCTCCGGGTTATAGTACGTCCTTTTTTCTCTGCTCCTTGCTTCATGTCTTGATGATTCATTATTTTAGTTTACCAGCTCTCACACAGCATGTCCCATGGTGTATGGACGCCCTTATATACACACCGTTTGTTGGTAAGGAGATGAAGCAACTTGGCGAGTTTGCATTCCGGCAGGTCTCCAAGCGTATCAAGGAGGGCTCAATCCAGGATGACCTCTTCTATCACCTCGTGAGCAGTGCTCCTCTCACTCTGTCCCTTGCGGGATTGAAGATGTTCTCCTAGAACGACGAGGGCCGTGAGAGCCCAGAGCCCCCCTCGATGCCGCTGCTGATGTCCAATGCGGTGACGGCCATTATCGCGGGCTCGGACACCACGGCGTCGGTCATGAGCAACATTTTCTTCTTCATTCTGCACCACCGTGCCGTCTACAACCGACTCCAGGCCGAAGTCGACGCCGCATTCCCGCCTGGAGAGGGCGAGCCCACAGATGCAGCTAAGCTGGCCCAGCTGGAGTACATGAACGCAGTCATGTAGGCATTTCCACCCCATGTTACATTTAGTGGCTCATGTTTGATGGCACAGCAATGAGACTCTCCGGCTCCGTCCTCCCGCGTCTACCTCTCTTCAGCGTGCTCCAACTCCTGGAAGCGGAGGACACGTTATTGGCAAGGAGTACGTGCTCCTGACCCCTTTTGATCAGTTGGCCCGGGGCTGACCTAAGCATCCGCAGCATGTTCATACCTGAGGGCACTGCTGTCTACTCTCCGTTGTACGTGTACCATCGCGACCCGCGGTACTTCTCACCAGATACGGATGCGTTCCGCCCCGAGCGGTGGCTTGCGGGAGAAGCGGAGCCTGACGCTGTGCTCAACATGTCGGCGTTCATCCCGTTCTCCATCGGGCAGGCGAACTGCGTTGGCAAGCCGATCGCGGTGCTCGAGATGCGCCTTGTACTCGCGTACATGATACAGGCATTTGAAATGCGCCTAGTGGACTCGTACCGACCGGAGCAGTGGGAGGAGGAGCTGCGGGACTTCTTTGTGCTACAGAAGGGCCCGCTCCCGGTCTCCTTGAAGGCGCGTTTCTGACCGTCATCACTCTTTCATTACAGCGATTTCTCCTTGTACTTTGTTTATGATTCATCTTCGTCGGCCTTGGATGCCTGGTTGCAGCTGCTCGCAGAAGATGCAGTAAGACAATTGGAGTCTACATCCGTAGACGCCCGTCATATATTAGCGCCGGATTAAAATTTCACTCCTGACCCAGCGCGTCCTGAGATGATGCCTCTTCATCTCCAGTCTGCTCCCTCCACAGTGAGCGATGAGCCTCCTTCACTGCCCGGAAACGCCGAGCAATATTTCTAGCGACACCACATTGGCTAAGTAGTTCAGCGCATGATTGCGCTGTAGCCTGGAACTTAGACAGAGCGTTAATCAGTACGTATGCATGCGCCGGGCGTGACAGTCAGACAGCAGCGTTGTTGATGAGAAGCAGCGAGCGCGGTAGAAACGTGCCTCCACTGATAGCTGAACCTTGCAGCATGATTGACCGGAACACTCTGGATCATGCCCGAACGTAAACCTTGTCAAGTAATCTACGCCTGGCTTAGAAAGTAATGTTATACTCACGTTCGCCATGAGCGGTCACTGGTGACAGTTAAATTCTGTATCATCTCAATTGTCGACGCTAACGGGTCTTCTCCCGCCCGCCAGAAGGCATCTGTAATCGCGCTTCCGGTCGGATCGCAGTGTGGAGATGACGCAGGTGTTCTTTGGCCATACCAAATCCGGTATACCGTTCTGATGGGCCACACGGGCGGCAGCAGCGCGAGGAGCCGTGTTACTAACAAACAGTCTTCGCGGAATCAGTGAGCGCCCTAGTGCTTCACAGGCGGAAGCTCAGTTATGTGGCCCTCCGCACTGCGCTTTCAGGCCTTATTGATCTCGGAGAGTGTCCCGCTCGCGTTGTGCCAGACGGTTCGCGCGTCTGAGTCGATATCCCATCTCATCCTGCGAAATGTCTACAGAGAAGCCATTTGCAGGAGACGAGAAGAGCCTGGACGGCGTGAACACGACCACGCCTGATCCCACTATCGCACAAGAAACATCTCGCGCTCCCGCCGCCGTGATTATCCCAGATGGTGGTTTGCAGGCTTGGCTCTCGGTGCTCGGCGGGTATGTGTGGCTGTCGTGCAAATAGCTATGGTAGTACTAACGTGCTCGTTCTCCAGGTTCTGCGTTCTAACAGCGACCTTTGGATACTCCAACTCGTTCGGTGTCTATCAAGATTATTATGTTCTGTCAGGAGCATCCAGTTCATCCAACGTCAGTTGGATTGGGTCTCTTCAAGTACGTTTCATGGAGGGCCACGCCGTATTATCATGCTGAACACAGCGCCCTAGCTCTTCCTTATGTTCTTTGTAGGACTTCCAGCGGGCAAGCTCTTCGACCAAGGGTACTTCCACCACAGCCTTGCTGTCGGGAGCGTCCTCTACGTGTTCTCGTGAGTATTCAAATACGTAGTCACGGTCCATCTTCATCCTAGACCGTTACCCCACAGCATGTTCATGCTATCATTGGCACACCCACACAAGTACTACCAGCTTATGCTTGCCCAAGGTGTTGGCATGGGCTTGGGTAGTGGTCTGATGTTAGTGCCGTCGATGTCAGTGCAAGCGCACCACTGGAGAAGGCGTCGATCTCTCGCCATGGGTATTGTGATGACAGGTTTGCTTCTTTAGCTGAAATATTGAGCAATGACTTACATTAGGTAAAAGGCTCCGGTGTTGGCGGCTTGATTTACCCAATCATGTTGAACAGGCTGCTTCATGGTCGCGTTGGATTTGCATGGGGTGTCCGTGCAACGGCTTTCCTTACCCTTGGCCTCTTAATCATTGCCAATTGCGTCATGACAACTCGCCTTCCCAGTGCCAAACAACGTCCGCCAGGGCCAAAGGCCGACGTCAAGTCGATTCTTGCAGATGGCCCATTCCTTCTTCTCCTCGCGGGGTAAGTCAGTCAGACCTCTTTGGCAGGGCATTTCTTACGATGTTCCAGAGCATTTTTGGTGCTGTGGGGGATGTTTTACGTATGTGAGTCGCCAAGCCACAACATACTGTGTTAGCGCCGTTTGAGTCTGACTGAATCCGAGACTTCTACCTGCAACTCTGGGTCAATTTACATGACCTATCCGAGACCCTCGGCTTTTACACGGTGCGCAATCATGTCGGTCGTTGCCCTCGTAGTCATCTCATTCAATCATGAGCTCAGATCGCAATTCTGAACGCTGCTTCTATCTTTGGGCGCACTATTCCCAACATGATCGCGGACCGTGTTGGCGCGTTTAATGTCTTTGCGCCCGTGTGTCTAATTGCTGGTGCCCTTGTATTTGCGATGTTCGGTGTGACCAGTGTTGGCGCGGTCATCGTGTTCTCGATATTGTACGGATTCTTCTCCGGCGCAGGTGAGTCTTGATCCCATGCGATAACTGACGGACACTCAAGATAGAGTTATCAGCGATTGCATTGATGCCTCCAACTGTTGCAAGCGTCGCCAACAGTGTGCATGAGATAGGGTGCGTGTTCCTCAGAGTGATTCATACTCTTGGCTCACATGGGTGTGCAGATTGAGATTGGGACTTGCCTATTTCACTGTATCTTTCGCAATGCTCACGGGAACCCCTATCGTGGGCGCGCTGTATGACCTGCACGATGCGTGGTTCAGACCCATCGTGTTCAGCGGCGTACGTCATTCCCACTGCCATTTCTATAGAAGCAGCCCAGCGTACTCATGTTCAAATAGGTTGTCATGATCGCTGGATTCGTGTTGGTCCTTTCGTCGCGGCATGTATATTCGAGGAGGAAGAGCACACAGCACCTTTGATTGACTTTGAGTCTATATGATCTCGGATGTAGCGGTTGTACAATCATCCCGAATTTAGATTCAGCGGTATGCTTGTGCCAGATACCTACGTTTTCCAAATATCGATTTCTCATACTCGTGCCTGATCGCGAAGGCTCTCGTTTCCCTTAGCATTCGCATGGCGCGGCACGATCGAGCAAGTTGCTTATCCATTATAGTGCCTCAAATCGTCCCACAGTCCCGTGTTTGAACAAGAATCTCCAGACGTATATGTGTCGGCTTACATGCTCGAGGACCGAGGATATTTCAAAGCTCAGGAGTGTCTGCTATTCTGTACGTAACCTTTTCTCCATGAACCTGATAGATGTACGAGGTTAAGACTCATCGACGGCGACTGGGTCGAATCGGATAACACACCTTACCAGCCTGCATGTACTCGAAGCCATCCTTGACACTTTCCAATCCATGGGGAAACAGCTTGCTAGGTATCGGCTTGACCTCGTGCTTGTGTAGTACTTCTGAGATGAGCGCCGCATACTTCACCGCGTTGTCGTAATGATCCTGCTTGGCCGGATACACAAATGGAACTGTAATTGCCTGGCGGAAGTCAGTCGCTTCGCTTGAGCAAGCAATGCAATTGGAATGCATACCTTGCCGAAGATCGAGTAGGCGAGGATGAATTCAGTCCTAACGCCTTTCGTCCGGCTTACGTAGGGCAACAGGGTCGCTATCGTGCCACCGTCCTTGCTGAGCGCTGTACTAACTTGATTAGGGGTTCTGTCCTGACTGATACAATCCATGGCGTGCTTGAGTTTGCCATCCGTGCTGGCAAAGATCCTCCTTGGCGTGTGTGACGGGGCATAGTCGTAGACCTCATCCGCGCCGATATCCTTCATCAGTTTGAAATTGCTCGGTGATGAAGTGGTAATGACATGCAAGCCCGCCAGTTTCGCGAACTGCACGGCGTAATACCCCGTCGCAGAGGAGCCTGACCAGATGAGGACACTTTCCTGCTCATGTTCGCCACCGAGCGGGGTCGGAAGATGAAGGCATTGGTAGAGGGCCTGACAGGTAGTGAAGCATGCGACGGGTATCTGGGCCGCGTCCTCAAATGATGTTCTATCCGGCAGGACGATCGTGAGGGCCGCCGGGACTGTAACGTACTCTGAAAATGCTCCATTGGGACCGATGCCTGTGGCCTCCTGAGTATACGAGAGGTTCAGCTAGAGGCGAACCTGAGACTGACCACCATGCGTCAGGCCTGCAACCCTTTGACCGATGGTCCTCAGGCCTGATGGGACATCCGGTCCTATTTCTACGATAAGCCCTGCGAAATCGCAACCGAGTACGTTTCCTCGCGCCTTGCAAGACACTGCAGTCTTCCCTGGGTACGCAAGTAACCCTCACCAACGGAATTGGGTGAATTGTAATAGGATCGCGTACAATCGGTGGGGTTTTGCGCTACGGCGATCACCTTGACCAATGCCTCGCCAGACTGACACCTGGGTGTGTCTATTCGCTTCAGTTCAACGTGGCCATCGCCAGTTGTCACGACCGCGCGCATGGTCGGAGGGACATCATCTGCCGCTGAGAGCATTGCAAGAAATGAAACCGTGAAATGGCCAAACAGAAACGGCTGGAGCCTGGGTGATAGTGCGAACAGATGGCCAAGTTGTATCGCCAGCTTGAGAGCACAGAAGCGCAAAGTATGTATCGTGAATTACCTGTTACGAGTAGATGTGACCACAGTGGCCATAATACATGAAGCCTCGCCTTGATCTTCCTGGATGACATGACATGGGAATATCATCGTCAGTTCTTCTGACTATGATACCGATCAAACTCAAGTTCTCCGCGACTGTCGAAGATCTGAGCGCCGAGCTAATACTTCCGGGATCGGAGTTGACACGTTCGGGCGGATCATTGTGTTCCCTCTCATCATAGAAGTGCGTTGGTGCCTGGTCGCTACGAATCCCGTCCGAATGGAAGTTCTACATATTCGTTTCCGCCGACTTCCTTCAGGCTGTACTTACAGTCAGACGGAACCCGGGAATGGGATGATATCGATGACGAACATGACAGATCTTCTCGCCGTACTACGATGGTTGTTTCTCTCGCTCTTAATGTAACCGCAAGAGATCGACACGCGGTGCGGTCATATATGTTCCGATGCACTCACCATCCAATGCGCCCAGGCTCACATGACGTGTTTATCTGCGAAGGGCGTTACATCGTCGATAGTGTAAGGCAAATAAATCGGTGTAAATTACACCGTACTTTTTTACAGGTAATTTACAGGTAATTTACACTTTTTTACAAGGCTGTCTGATTAGCGGTGTAAATAATGTAAATAAGGAGGGGTCACGTGTTGGGTACCCGCGTCCAGCCACCACTTGGGGCCGATGCCTTGTGCCTCTTGTGCCTCTCATGCTGCCCCGGGCTATTGTTTTGTCAACGCCGCTGCGTAGGTTTAGTGCGCCACGTTCGGTCTCTTTGTGCTAGTATATATATAAAGTCCAATCAATTGTATTTCCCCCCAATCTTTTGCTGTGCAGGCTGCTCTCTGGCAGCATCCCCCTCAGTCACTCCCATGGCACCACAGTCGACGAGCCACGCTGGCGTCTTCCTAGAAAGCGAATGGATTGGGTCTGGTAAGAAGTTCACAAAAGATTTACCTGCCTATGTCAAGACGGCCCTCGAGGCTGAACTTTCGCTGCCACCAGCAATACTATCCTTGGTACTACCAGGTAGCATCAAGGGGTTCGAGCCGGAGGAACGAGACGACGACGAGACACTGGAGTGGCTCGATGAGCCTGCTACAGTTATCCGGGGAGAGTCTGGGTTTGTTGCTGCAAACGAGGTGAACCTTAATGACCCGGACCTTCTAGAGATGCTCGCGACATCGCCGCCGTCGTCTAGGGCTGGAAATTCACAACGGCCGCGCACGGATGTTCAGGAGGACTCGGAGCTAGTAAATGTGAACGAGCCGGCAGAAGATGGTAAGACATTGTGGCAATTTAATTGGGATGTGTAGGTACTTTACAGCGTGTACTAGAAACTCTGTACGCCCTTGCGTGTAATTCGGACGCTCCCTGAGGCTTTTTTTACATATGTTTACACTTTTTTACTGTTTTTTTACCGTTTTTTACACGCCGGAGGGGCGTCACATGCCGAGGAGCAAAAGTCCCGTGATTTACTGTAATTTACATTTTTGACCGTGTAAAAAACGGGGTCCCGAAACCTGGGGGTGTAAAAAACGGTAATTTACATGCCGATGAATTATTTACCCTACACTAATCGTCGATTGATCGTCAGAATCAGCAAACGACGACTTAGGGGTTTCTCAGCGGCTAGGCTTCTAGAACGTTAGGATAATCTCATGTGAACAGGAAAGCCCGTGTTGAGCGACCGTGACCCAACTACCGAGAAGTATACACGTCGATCGGCAGCGACGCAGTTTCTGTGCACGTTTCCGACATGCAATGTCGGGCACAGCCCCAGCGGAGCGGAAGATAACAAGCCGGCACACCTATGTCTTCGAGGTCTTTTGTTCCACGCCCATCAGGATCGATTGTATCATTTGCACGCAATCATTCATGGGTGGAGTCAGGGGCAATGCAGAAGCGCAATGTCGATTGAAATTGGACCACAGGTTCTGATAGCACAGTGTGACTCGGAGCCTTGCCCATCGTAGACATTGATATCCGTTGCGCATCTATCTGTTGTCGATGGTGGCGGTAGTAGATCAAGCTGTGCCCGGTGAGAATTTGGAAACTCGCAGTGTGTGAGGTCGAGACTTCTTTCACGAAGACATAACGTCGCAGATACCAATGCATGATGATGTTGCGAGCGGCATCAACGGTTGAGAGAGGAATGCACATTTTGCGGTCGGGCATCGCGCGCTTACTTCTATTTACTCCTATTTGGCTCCTCTTTTCAATCACGACGATCACACGGTAACTCATAGCTGAGCTAAAGCTGCTGCTATAGGCGGACATTGGTCAGAATACAACTGGAATATGTGGATGATAGTTCACGACAGGTCACAACGCTTTTCCAGACCATAAACGCAGCTGATGCTAGCGCATTCGAACTGGCAAATTTCGCCATCTCCGAGGAGACTCGGAATCTCACTTGCGCCCGATGGCTTGGTACGTATGCTACGGCATCTTCATTACGTCGCGTCGCTTCTGATGATACCATTCCTCTTTACTTCGTGGCGTCAAATCACGTTTCGGCGCTGATGCAAGGTACACCGTAGAATCAAGATGAAAACTGAACGCTAGCACATGCGCCGGCGCCGGGGAACCCTGTATCATACCTGGCCCGTCATTGCCCGTCCTTCTCTGGTATTTTATTGTATCCCCAAGGCGAAGAAGCTCATATAAATCCCTCATAAGATAGCAATAGCGCGGACCTACGCATCTCGGTCTTGGACGCGTAAGCGATGATGCCGACTCCTATAGCCATAGTATGTTGGCAGCCTCTTGAGTAGCATTCCTACTTACCCATCTTCAGGTTGGTATATCTGCCGAATTGCCTAGTGGAGTTCACACAGACAGTAATCTTAATCATCACGAGTTTTTTGACTTCCTGCTCAATGGGAAGGAATCCTACGAGCGCATGCCGCACGGCAGGTTCAATATTGAGGCGTGAGTTACAATAGAAGCTTGCTCATGCCCGTCCTGTTTGACCCTCGTTGATAGGTGGAAGGGCAGCAATCGCGGAGAAATATGGGTGGACACAGGGTCATTTCTCAAGGGAATAGACTTATTCGACAATGTCGAATTTGGCATCTCTGCGAGAGACGCCCGCACTATGTCACCAGCTACACGAAAGCTCATTGAACATTGTTTCTTGGCGCTGGTGGACTCAGGCATCGATTACCGCAGCAGGAACGTCGGTTGTTTCACCTCCGGAACGAACCTAGAGTTGACGAATGTCGCTGGTCCAGTAAGTCCCGCTTTCATAGGAATTGTAGTCAATCTCAATAGAGGACCGCAGGACGAATACGACTGTGAAGGCTCATTCGCGGGATATCCCTCGATGGTGTCTAATCGTGTCTCGACTCATCTTGACCTATTGGGTCCATCAGTCCCCACCGATACGGCATGCAGTTCATCCATGACGGCACTGCACCTCGCAGTTCAGTCACTGTATAGCGGTGATTGTGATGCTGCTGTAGTGGGCGGATGCCAACTGAACCATCGGCAAGTATTGCTCGCCCTTGACGCGGATTCAAGTTCACCTCTGACTAGCTCGTGGTTAGTTTCGTCGACTGGTTCACGTATAGCCAGGCATCCTTGTTAGCCCCCGATGGCAAATGCAAGCCGTTTGACTCGTCAGCAGATGGGTACGGTGCAACCTTTTCAAATGACTTTTCATTTTTACACCTCAGGCAGATTTTCCAGAGCAGAAGCCTGTGTAGCGATTGTACTTAAGCCGCTGCAGCAGGCTTTGTTAGACGAGGACCCTATCTATGCAACGGTAGTGCCTTCGTTGTGTCGGAGAGCCGTGCTCTGACTTTGTTGCGTAGATTCTCGGTACAGCAATCAACTCATGCGGTGGTAGCGCTCCATCTGGGGCACCCGTTGCGGAGGCGCAGCGAGACGCTATGCGAAAGGCATTTAGGCTATCAGGTAGAAGCCCTCGCGAAGTTGACTTTGTGGAGTTGCATGCGACAGGTAATGTTTTTGCGCATGTTTTCATGAATCGACCGGTCGACGTACCAACTTGTCAATTGGTTAGGGACAGCGAAGGGAGATCCCACGGAAGCCAATTGGGCTGGAGAGGAGTTCCAGAGAGATGACGAAATCCTCATTGGCAGTGTAAAGGGAAATATCGGGTGAGCACCTCAAACGCAACAGACTAATGCAGCCAGCTGATCGTCTCCATTCGTAGGCACACAGAAATTGTAGCTTTTCTGGCGTCACTGTCGAAAGTCGTATCCATATTCCAATCCCGCCTTATTCCCCCGAACATCAACATACGGTCGCTCAACCCTGCAATTCGGTGGAGAGAGTACCGGCTCTGTGTACCCCAATGCCCCATTGCATTGCCTTGTCATTCAGAGCGCCTTCCTCTGATCGCTATGTCAAGCTCTGGGATCGGTGGCTCCAATGGCCACGCGGTTCTGGAAGGGCCGCCGGTTCGAGCATCCCACAATACGCACACCTCGCCTGAGGCTGACCTGCCAAAGCTCCTCATCTCCGGCGGGCTTTCCTCTCGCAGCGTCAGCGTGGTTGCGGAGTCCATCGCAGATGTGGCGTCCAGTGGCGCTTGTAGTTTATCTACACTGTCCACTGTGCTTGGACGTCGCTCCCGTTCTATGACCTGGCGCTCGTTTGCGATCACTGACCTGGGTCGTCCCACGTTCTCGCCACCACAGCTTTGTCCTCGTGAAGCACGCCCCATCGTCTTCGTATTCTCGGGGCAGGGTCCCCAGCATCAGCACAGTGCGTTCGTTACTCATGTTAGTCATACGGCCCATGGATGATGCTGATGTCTACTCAGTGGGTCGGCAGCTATTCGAGAATTTCCCCATCTTCCGCGATAGCATACTGGAGATGGATAAGACCTACGAGGCATTGACTGGCAGCTCGATGCTACGTGATCACGGCTTGTTTGAGGGCTACTCACCCAACGGGAACTTCAAGGACGTCTGGCCAATATCGCTCATTCTGCCATCCATTGCGATGTTCCAAATAGCGCTCTTCGATCTCTTGACCAGCTTCGGCGTCAAGCCAGACATAGTCATTGGCCATTCGGCTGGCGAGACCGCCATGCTCTACGCATCTGGTGCAGCGCCAAGGTCGATGGCATTCGAGCTGGCCGTCATTCGCGGACGTGCGTTCACACCTCTTGAAGCACTTGGTGGTGGTATGGCGGCCATATCATGCGGGGAGGAAGACGCAGAGGAAATCATTGCCAGCGTACGCTCAGAACTCCCGGACAACATCCTCGAGATCGCCTGTTTCAATTCACCCTCTGCCATCGCGATCGCGGGCCACGACATCGCGATCACACGGGCGCTGGAGGTCTGTCAGACTCGGGGGGTGTTCGGTCGCAAGATACGCACGAGCGTGCCCATGCACTCGTCCATGATGGAGCAGTGTCGAGAGGACTACTGCAGAGAGCTCCGAGCACTGTTTGAGCGGTACCCTGGCCAGCACGTCCCACAGATCCCGACGTACTCAACATTGACGGGAGAGAGGTTGTCCGACTCGATCGACGCCGACTACTTCTGGAGGAATACGCGATCGCCCGTACGGTTCACGCAAGCGATGGAAAGGCTTACCGCGTCGCAGTCGTG